CCGTCTAAAGTTTTCCTTATAATGTGAGTAAATTAGCTCAAACAAACATGAAAAATTAAAAACAAATTCTCTTGTAATGTATAATACTTAGAATAGTTACCAATGGCATTGCACAATTTGTTTAAATACAGTCCATTTAACCAAACTCAACGATCAATGTACATGTAATAGAAACTTGTTCACAATAGAAAATTTGGTCAAACTCTTTATCTGGATTCTAATTTGAATCATTCATATTAATAACATTATTGTCGATTATTATTTTATTGAATAAACGATGTCTAACTTAGACTACCACTAAGACGTGAAGATTCTCTTTTCAAGGAAATTCCTATGCGTAAGTCAATGCCAAACGTAACTATTCCGGGCAGATTCTCGCGCTGATGGCCACGCTGTACTGAAGGATGCTCCGACAAATCAATGATTTGTGATTGGCTGTTCTGCATCTACGACTGTACTTGGCAAGGGTTACCCATCGCGCCAAGGAGGTTAATGTTGCCTGAGGGATGATCTTGACTCAATTGATTACCCCGTTGCATATGTGCCCTTGTATCCGAGAGAACTTTGAGATATGCGTTTCCCTGTCACCACATTTTTAAATGGATCTGACTCTTTAAGTAAGTCTATTATCAACAACCGTTATATTCGAAACTATGATACATTCTAAGTTCTAAAGGAGATTTCTCATCCCTTGAGCGATCAATTTGTGATCTGTTTTCTATAAAAAGATAATATGATCATCAACCGGGCTTTAGTGTTGCACCAGGTAGCACTACCAAGCAAATAGCCTGACTTCAGCAATCCTGCGACTTTTTAATAGTCACCGAGGACAAATTCAACATATTCGGTATATCACTTTTCTAGACTTCAGAATATCCGCATCAGTACAATGCATGGGTAAAACAGACCCATTAATCCAATGGAATCAAAATCTGCCAACACACACTTAAAGGCAACGCCCAGGGTGTGTGGGAGATATCGACTAGCAGACACTGAACATTCATCAGATAACGTTCCAGTTAGTATGGTTGTTGTCGCGAGATCATGCAATTTTCATGTAGACGATCTTCATAAAAATTAAATTTACATTGAACCAACGTTGCTCGATCTATGTCAAATAAACATTGCCGCACCTCCATTGTGCTGATTCACTAGTTGATAGACCTGTCCATTGGCAGTAATAACACGGTTCAGTGGACCGTTTTTATTTGTGTCCGAACTCTCTGTTGCTAATTTCTCTTCAAGTCTAAATTTTCTCCTGGCAAAACTCAGTTTTCGCATTTTCTTTTCCTTTGGGGCCTTGCCATTATGAAGAGGCTGGAGTTCTGAGGCGTTCAAATCGTTCGAAGGGTACTCGTCTCCCTCCAAGACCACAGCCGGCAGTTCCGGTTTTCCCAAGCTGATAACGCGGAAGTAACGTAAAAACGCCACCGCAGGAATAAAAAATATCGACATGAGAGTGATCAATATCGCCAAGAATTTTCCCCAAGCTGGATAAGGAATGGAGACTGTAATCCCCTAAAAAGGACAGAAATTTATTAGCGACAGATCGACCAAGTGCAAGACACCATTCCTGGTTTACCTGTGTCTCATTTGAGGAATACTAAATGTTTGGTCAATCGCCAACCTTTGTGGCACGTAGACATTAGGAAGCTCAAGCAACGCAACGACGACGAAGTCTACACAAAAAAGGACAAGACTAAATAAGCAGCAGTTTAGTTGAACTCCTTTTCCACCAGTTCATTTCGTAGATAACAGGTCTACTATAAACATTAAGAAGAGTTTTAAGTTCTTATAATAAGAATTGACAATTAAGTAAAAGTCTCACTAAAGTCGCTGCTGAAGCCCCAAATTTTCATTGTCAAAAACAGAATGGCGAACCCAATTATCGTACTAAAATGTCTATCCATGATTTTTTCCGCCCGGTCTAAAAAAATCGATTCAATTATATTTCAGTTATTTTTCCCAGATGAGCCACGGAAGGAAGCTTCCCGTCAGCCTTCTTGATCCCGGCGGGCTACATTGCCCATGCACAATACAATGTGTAACTTTCTGTCACTTCTCCCTTCCTTCCATCGTGAACATTAATAGGGAGCCTAAGCAACGACGACAGCAACGTCAAATGTTGGCAAATTTCTTTGGAGTTGAATTCTAAAGGATTATATCAAATTTCAGGAAAAGAAAAAGAAAATTGTTGTTTTGCGTTCCCGTCTTCGACAAAACGTGAAATTAGGCATTTTCACGTTGTAGTCGAGCAATGATGGCAAAGAAATATACAAAAAAGCGTGATGCACGTGCACGTGATGCAAGTTGTTATCTTGTTAATCTAAACCTACTGGTTTATTGCCGTTCTCGTTGCCGTCACTGTCGTCGTTGCTTAAGATCCCTGTTATACCGTGATCTAACGGCCCTCAAGGGGTTTATTGACTTAGAATTACCTACCTTAACAGGGTCCCATACGTCGTACTTTGCTGTAGTTTGTGACATGCTTTTAATGCTCATAGAAAGTACAACCAATATAGTGACCGGAGAAATGACTTTCCAACACCACTTCCAAATAAAACGAGGCGGTTTGTTCGTCATGTATTTTATGTCGTCGCTAAATCTGTTTAAAAGTAGAAATTTGTCATTAAAGGTTTTTCAAAACTGCCGTAAGGTTCGTAGCATTGAAACACGGAACTTACAGCTCTCTCACGAAAACTTTGCAACCTACATAGCGTTAACGATCTAGGGTGAGGTGGATGGCGTGTAAGAGCAAGAGAGAGGAAAAAGCCAGAGTGCTACTTGCAGTTTGATATGGTATAGTTAAGGTTGTTTGCCATTTAACAATATTTTCTCCCAAAATTTCGAATGTAATTGCCATTCGGAACAAACAATTTAGTTCAAAAGACAAGTTAAGACGGTGAAAGCGAAAACGGCTTGGAGATCGTGATAAAGATATGGTAAATGCCCGGGGGGGGGGGTACTACTGGAAATTCTTGGTGGGAGTGTGCCGCCCGGCCCTCCAAATCCTGACCCTGTTTCAGACCAAAAAATGTCATTCTCCACACCCGTTTTCAGACCAGGCCTTTAGGCAGAAATTATGTCATCATTACTTAAATTAGGGCGCAAACAAAATAATTCTTTAAATGCATTTCCAATTTGCATATTTCTATTTCGTTCTTATTGATTTGGAATTGAAAGATGACAGTAGGTTCATACGCTCACGCACTTCTCTCGAAAACCATACCCAATTCCAGACCAAAATAGGCAAAGTGTATACCCGTTTTCAAGCAAAAAAGGCCCAAACACCATACCCTTTGGGGGCAGCACATACCCACATACCCACGGCACATATTTACCCCGAGGGGTGAATGTCGATAAATGGAACATGACTTTCCATCTGGAATGCCCAATTCAGAAAACGGGACTAGCGGGTTGGAATGTAGATGCAACACACAATTTTTTGTGCCTTCCACTGAACTCTTTCTGGAGGACGTGGAACTTCTGAAAATGTTTCGCTAGTTTCAGGCTATCTCGCAGCCCTATCTTTACCACTCAAGGAAGGAACGGATGGAACCACTGTCAAATGGAATACCTTCTTCATTGATGGGCATTTCACCGAAATTTCCAATTTCCAGTTTTCAAAGGTTGCTTACCATTTACTAAAAGCTTCCAGCGGAAAATCTGGTCGAAAAGTAAATGATACACGCCTTTTTGGGTCATTCCGGCAGAAAATTTCCGGGAGCAACGGAACTCATCTGATAAGGCAGTCCTGTTTTTCCGGGCGGAATCTTCCAAACGGCAATTAGTGTTCCATTTCTTCAAAGCCATGTTTGATACCAGTTTCCGGCCTTCGCGGCTGTTTTTTGGTAAATGGAGCCAATTTGTACAAATGTAAGCCATTCCAGGACGAAATTTACCAGTCCTGAATTTTGCTTACCATTTACCCAAACTGTCAACCGACTGGTTTGCTCATGTAAATGGACTGAACGGTAACAACCAAAATCTCCGGGTTTTTTTTTTCAGTTGTACATGTAAATAGTAAACAAGGTAAGAAGCCTTGTGTTTATCTCTCACCTGTCGATGCCGTAAATATACGAAACAGCGATGCATTCCACCAAGGCGATGATAAGCAGTGGAATACTGGAGCAGTAGTTTACTATTAATTGCATCCAATATTCCCCTGACTGCTGTACTAAGGGCAGACCCATAACGCACATCACCAAACAGATAATACCTTAAAAGAGCCAAAAAAAAAATGGGTTATCCTTTCAACCCTAATTTAATTTTTTTGGGGGAAAGCAAGGGTGGCGCAGTAGTGAGAGCGCTCGCCTCCCACCAGTGTGGCCCGGGTGCAAATCCGGCGTCAACACCATATGTGGGTTGAGTTTGTTGTTGGCTCTCTTTCTTGCTCTGAGAGGTTTTTCTCGGGGTACTCCGGATTTCCCCTCTCCTCAAAAACCAACATTTCCAAATTCCAATTCGACCAGGAATTAGGTAGACGAAGAACCACTGAGTGGATGTGCTACCTTAAAATCGTTATTTATTTATTTCTAATTTGTTGCTCCTAAACATTTCCGATAGAATTATAGGGTGGGGAAATCGAAGTTGTTGAAATATCAAATAAATACGCTCTTGTGTAATCATATCCTTTTAAAATTATTGTCACCAAATTTGCTGTTGATCATTCTTTGGGCTTAATTAAGGGTTAATGACTCAACACTCCACAAATAGCTTGAAAGCGCTAAGAGAACGGTCCAGAGGATTCTTCTACCACTGGAACCAGTTTACAGCGACTAAAAATAAATATCCTAGCTATAGCTTGTAATTCGAGTTTGCTTGTCTTAAAACGCCGATATTGATAGCACTGTGCATTCGAAACTGATGTTGGAAAGTCCAAGGGAAAATTTAGGGCTCTGTTCACAGTCCTCTATGGTTTCGTAAGATCGTTAGGATCGAGCGCTAACCGGTACGAACTGGCGGCTATCATGGCTTCATGTGTACGAGTGGAGGGGGAGAAAAGGGTGGGAGTCCGCCTTATACCGGTGGGCGAAGAGTGTCCTCTGTCCCTAAGTAGATTTGACCCTCATCTTCAGGCTAAACTAGGAACATTTAAAACTAAGATGGCCGCTCGTAACGCAAAGCGCTCGATCACGACGAACTTACGGAGAACAGGGGACTGTGAATAGTCTATCAGGGAGCTAGAGTCAACACTAACCGGAAATGTATTCCTTCTTCAGCTTAGGGAAGAGATTTTGATCAATGACCGGGGTGACCACGCCTTCCAGCATTCCAAACTCGGTATCAATACCCACGGTGATGAGCATCAAGAAGAACATAACAGACCACAGTGACGCAAAAGGCAGCTTATTTATCGTTTCGGTGAATACTATAAAGGCCAGACCTTGTCCTCCAGGAACCTGGAAGGCCAAAACGGAAAACGCAATTGTCTAATACGTTGGAACCAGAATTGGAAATTGGACACTGAAAATTTTCCCTAACAGTTCGTCTATGAATGCATAGACGTTTTGAGAAACTATGATCAGATCCTCAAAAATTGTTTCATGGGGAATATAGACTCCTTTCTGAGTGTCTGGATTTCAGAAAAAAAATCCTTCCTTTATTTGATAATACCGCCGGCAATGAATGAGGGAACATAAAAAGAATGAAATCTGCCAAAACTACATTTATGTACAGCTTATAAAAACGACCAGCAATATTTGAAATATTTAAAACACAAGGCCTAACTGGGTGTTAAAACTTAAAACAACTCGAACTTTAGTTTATTGTATATTGTGGAAAGCAGTTTTCTCTGGGTCTATTTGGACAAAACTGGAGTTGAAAACTTAGCCGTGTTTTATCAGTCTAGATTACATTCACCACTGAAGCGACTTCTCTTGATTCTATTTATCAGTTGTGAACGGTATTTTATATCTCCCAGATAACCTAAAAGATTTGCAAAGGGTAAACACTGCCCGTTCCTCTCGATCACCTGATACCTAAAAACCGTTCGATTCGTATAGGTAATAGCATGATTTGTAGTGATATTTGGCATAAATACCACGAGTGATATTTCGAAATTGTTATTCGTAATTTCACGAGCCGTTAGGCGAGTGAAATTTGAGACAATTTTGAAATATCACGAGTGGTATTTACGCCAAATATCACGTACAAATCATGTTATTATTTGTTTATACTACTACCCACAAAGGTTTTGTAATTTTCACATGTAGGTATTTCAAATTAAGCTGAAATACCACTGCTCTAAGCCAATCAAATTGCAGAAATTTCCCATGTAGTAGTATAATACCAGGAATACCCAGGAATGCCCTGCTAGCAAAGGCTTCTCAGCTTTCGGCGTGGTTATGGCACAAACGGCTCAACCACGACGCAAATTTACCATTGCTATCACGGTAAAACAGGGACACTACTTGGCCTTATGGTTGACAATGCATATTAATCTAAAAGGGTTTTTAACAAGCGAATAGAGCAATCTTCGTATGACCTTGAAAAATGGTTTCGGTAAGTGTTCGTTATTTGTTTTATCAGCAAATGGATGAAAAGATCAAAACATGGCCTCTTCGTTTTCCCGCCAAAGAAAACCCTAACATAAAGAAGGCATTGTGCGATTGGCCAACGGCCTCTTGCAGTATGATGTCAAAGCGAAGTATTAGTAGATTACTAGAAAGTTTTTGGGCATAAAGCGTTCACTAAACCAACCAAAAGCCACGGGCGTTTGTATCCGTTCGACAAACCAATCAAATCGCTCTATTTCCGTTCGTTTGTTTTTCTGTTTTGTTCGTGCGTTTTCATTTCAAGGTCATACGAAAATCGCTCTATAGATAACTACCAATGACTGATTTACTTTTGAAGGGCATCGCCAGGATACGGATGACAACTAAGGCTATATTCATATTATGCCGTACGGCGTTTCGTGCTGACACAAAAAGCTATCCAGTATAGTATCAGTGAACACCTATCCGATATGTGGCTCTTCGCTTTAAGAGATCGGCGCGGCGCAGCCTCGCTCCGTTCCCTTGCGATCCGACAACGGCGACGTCCATTGAAAGGTCGCTGAAAGATAGACTCCGCAGCCTTTTCAACACTTTCGCGATTATCCTAAGTCGCCCAGTTATTAAAAAGAAGGAAACTTTTGTTGGAGCTGAAGAGAGGGGGCTGGGCCGAGTTCAGACAGAGGGGTAGAATATATCGCCTTGCCGTTGTCGTCCTCAAAAAAGCTTACAATTTGGTCATTTCAAGTCGTAGTCGTGCAGGGACGGCAAAAAAATTTCAAAAAACCGTGGTGCACGTGCAGATTTGTTGTTTTGCTTACTGAACCTACTGCTTTTTGACCGCGGTAGGATTAGCTCAGTGGGTAGAGCGCTTGACTGCAGAGCGGGAGGTCGTGGGTTCGATTCCCGGGGCCGGACCAACACTCATGGTCTTAAAACAACTGAGAAATGAAGGTACTTCCTTTGCCCTGCAGGCGGCTGGACCTTCGCGTGGCTCGGATGAGCACGTAAAATGGCGGTCACGTCTCCAGTAGGAGACGTTAATATAGTGTCCCCAATTAGCACTTTCGTGCTAAATACATTGACACTCAAATAAAGGTGCCGTCGCCGCCACCGTCATAGTTTCGCAAAGTGCCTTCCGGATTCGCGCCGATATCATCGTTCTTAAGTGTGAACAGAAGCCCTATACTATCCTGTATTCGTTTTCGTGCATGCGCAAAAGCTATCGGATATATAGAGTGTGAACATAGATGAAGTGTAGATGAAGTAAAGAGATTTATATACATCGGTAAACTGTCTCACCTTCAAAAACTTCTTTTTATCACAAGTAATGAGCGTCTCATTAAACAATTTGGACGCATTGTAAAGCATCTCGCGGAGCAATCCACCATCCATTCCGTTAAAGTCTATTGATTCCGGTAAATTGGTGACTCCAGTGCTTTTAAGCAGTCGCAAAGCCTGAACTTTTTGATCATCTAAACATAGGTCCATTTTGTCTTCTGCCTGGACAACGGAAAAAAAGTGTTAGCACAACAGAATATATGAAGTATATTTCGTCTGCCTTATTTAGTGTTCTTTCATTGTCAAGAAAAACTTAACCTGCTGAAACGATATTTTGAGGAAACTGTCCAAAAAACACCCCCATTTTAATGGCTGAATTTTTACTAGAGACGGATAATTAGTCTTGATATAAAACCGGTATGTGGACGAATTTTAGCCTTCTCGCTAGATTCCTTTGTCAGCTTCTTCATTCATAACACTTTTAATACTGAAGGCCATCTTACCATCGAGATAGAGGAGAGAAAACGTTGCCCTGGAAATTTCGTTATTTGACTCTCGACATTAAACGGTGGAATTTAATCACAATATTTAGACGGGATCCGTCACCCATAACATTATACGCATAATAACTCCATCCGAACATAATTTTGAGCATACCTAGGTTTCGCTGGAAAGTATATAATAGATTTTACGACTATCGTCATACCCGAATGTTTATGCTTTCTTAATTGCCCCCGCAGGGATTTCACCCAGAAGGCGAAATCCCAAGGAGGCACTCTAGTAACTCGCGTGTATATGAAGGAAAGTACTTAAAGATGAAATATATAGTCAGTAGGCCACAAAAAAATCTCGATTTGCTTGAACAGGGGCCGCGAGGAATCGGTAGGTAATGATGACGTTTCTATTGTTTGCGCCCGCAAGTACGAAATGGTTAGGATGACGTAAAGACAGAAAATCCCCAAGGGACCGCTTACAATTCTGTGTTTTCACTCACGTGGTCAGCATCTATGCAAATTTATTGGAACAAAAGAAAGCGTTTACATAAGAAAAGAGTTCAACTCCGACAGAACTGTAGTTTGGGACACAAACATGGCCCCCGTTTCATTGTTTTGGGACACAAATATGGCCGCCATGACGTCATGTGAAAACACACAATAGGTACATTTTGTGACATTTATTGTGCAGTCATACTTCGATACTCTTTTTGCGTTACGTGTTGTCAGTGACATTCTGGGGAGCAGTTGTTTTGAAAGTTATGGACCAAAAGACACTCGTTAATGGCAGATGAAGTTATAAGGTGCGTATAACTGTGTATATATGAACACTTGGAGAGTTTGCCAGACACAAATCTTTAATTGGAAACCTTGCTAGACACTTTAACTCTCCTCTCTCTCTTTAACCGGAATAAGACTCAGCCCCAAACAAGCAAGACGAGTGAACAACTGCTAGCTTATCACCAGCAGAACGATGGACAATTACAGAAATTCGCCGACAATCAAATTCCGTGCTGACTTACTCCCTGCTCGCAGATGTCCTTCCGTTATAAAGTTTAAAATAAGACTAGAATGCGCGAGCGTGAATTAATCAATCGTCCTTTTAATTTCTAAGGCTTACTTTCAGGCAAAAAAAATAACCGAATGTAAAAAGTGAAAGAGAAATAGCGAAAAATTGAATTTCTAATTAAATCTTTTCTTATTGTTTAGAATAAACTATTCTCGAAACTGAGAATGTTTTCATCAAAACTGTGTAAATCGAACTGAAAAGGTGCATGGAACCTTGCGTTTCCTGTATTTATCTCACCTATTGTATGGAATATGTGTGAAAATCTTCATTATGAATGGGCATATTTCAAAGTGCTACACAACGACCAAGAATGCCATTGACCGACAATATACAGAGCGGGGCAGCTATAGTGTCGACTATTACTAGTTTTATTATGAGGGACAACAGTGGTGGTAGTGAAGCTCTCACGCGCGCGAAGTGCGCGCAGCGGCGAATCAAGTGTAAGACGATTTAGTTATGTATGTATCCAGGAATTTTTCGTTCTGTCAAAATCGTCCATTTGTCTGTCCGTACGTCCGCCCCTTCATGGTAGCGGATGTGTTTTAAATCCAAGGCAAGAACAAATTGTGTTCAACTTGGTATTGGGCATCCATGTTATGATCAATGACAGCTGTCAAAATAGAGAATCCGCTGACCAGTGTCTCATGGCTGTATCGCAGACCCAAGAGTACATCTGCTTGAGGTGACGTGTTTTTTAAAGTTCTTCGTTAACCAGTTATGGCATTCATGTGATCGCAGGCTCAGAAAACTTTCCTTCAGAAAGTAAGTTACCACGAGAGCTTCACTTGTGGCCTTGGCTAAAGCTAGATATTATGGTATTTCTCAAACGCACTATGTACAATTGTTAGGCCCAGGGGCAGAAAAGCAAAATTATAATATACCTGAAAACCTATGAAAGCGAACACCACAACACTTGCGTATATCGAAGTAGCGCAATTGATGAGGCAAACTGTTATAGCGTCTCTTGTTGAATCATTTTTTATAGGATTGTAACTGGAGAAAGCTATTAATGATCCATAGGCCACACCCAGAGAATAGAAGATCTGCACCGCAGCATCCAGCCACACAAGTGGATCCTTGAGACGGTCAAACTAACGGAAAAAGAAGAAACATTACGTTTTCCCAACGCTCACTTTGAAAATAAGGAAAGACAACTTCGACAAGTTAGAGCTTGCTCAATTTAATTGCAGGGGATTTAAAATTGAAACTAGCGCCTTACGAAAGTCTTGCTTTTGTTTCCATGTTTTGCATGGAACTTTACTTCTCTTCGAATCCATTTATCGCTTGATGTGGAGGCAGACTCGTTTCAAGGAAAGTCCGAGCACCAAATACCACAGTGATAAACACTTGGTATACGAGTCTGATGTGGAGAGTAATTTGGCATGTACGTAGATTAGTTCAAGGTTTCTTTTGCAGAATAATAGTGCCTAGTGCGCGGTACCACTGAAAGTTTCACGACTGACAGAAGTGTTTTTAGCGTGTGTGTAGTATTATTTGTTTGTTGTTGTGTCTACTTTGACCTTGTAACGAGCTCTTTTATTAAATAACGTCTTACTTCAGGTATAAAAAGTAAAGCCAGTCCTTCTTGATATCCTTTCAGATGAACTCCACGAAAGAAGAATATTATCAACAAGATCAAAGGTAGCGTGGCAGTCAAGTATACGATCTGTGAAAATATTAAATCAAAATGGACGCTGGTATATTAGCTTCAGACAAGAGAAAATGATGGAACCGAGAGGGAAACGCCCACTCTAGCCCTCGGGATAAGTGAATTTCAGCGAACTATTTTTAGACCAAGTGAACTCTTGAAATTAATCTAAAGTTGGTTTCCGGAGAGGTCCTCAAACTTTTATTCAGTGTTGTCAAGAGAGAATTCAACAGTCCCCATCATAATATTCTGCTTTGTTTGCTTTAAGGCAGTCACGCGAGGACTTGGTGACATTTCAAACAATTGATTAAAATATGCACACGTCTCAGGAAACAGACTTCCGTTTAATTACATTCTCTAAAAATAACTTTTGATTAGTGAAATTCTTTCTCTCTCTCGGTTCCATTATTCTCTAGCTTCAGATCAAGTAAGAAAATGTCTTAAGATCTCCTAACTGTTACTAAGTTATTCGTCACGGTACACCCGCTTCCGTTTTCAAAGCACAGATATGATTCATCAATGTAAAAGATATAGATACACCAGCAACCAACAAGAAACCAACAGTAATAACCTGTGTCCTTTTTCATTTCCTTTCGCTCTAATGTTTTTTAAGAATTTTTAGCAAAATTCATAGTCTTTTCATTCCGAAAAGAGAAACGGACAATTTTCTCAGTCCACTCCCTCCGTCACCTCCACCATCGTCAGTAATCGAGAGTGTAAGCAACCACGACGGCAACGGCAGTGAAAATGCCACTTAGGAAGCAAGTTCGCGCTGTTTCAAAATATATTACTCTTGCTCCATTTCACACAATTTGTTTAATGTTGGGGAACTCTTCTGGGATTATATTGAAGTTCAGAAAAAAAAGGAAATCGTTGTCTTGCGTTCACGTCCTAGAAGTTCCACGTCGTGGCCGTGCAACGACGGCAAAGAAATGTGATGCACGTGCAGGTTTGTTGTTTTGCAAATCCAAACCTACTTCTTTTTTGCCGTTCTCGTTGCCGTTGCCGTTGCCGTTGCCGTCGCCGTCGTCGTTGCTTAAGCTCCCTAATATCTGTTGAGGATGATGCTATCTCCAAATGAATAGATGAAAAAAAAAATTGAAAATACATTCACGAATTCCGGTCTTGTGCAACAGAGTCTCCTGCTAGGAAAGGTGTTCACAACGCCCATTCAGTTATGTAGTATCTCTCTAAGTTAGGTACTTCTACCTTTCCTGTTATCCTGGTTCCCTTCATCATACACAGCCAAATAAGGACCCAAGTTCCAATTAAGCATGCATAAATCTTCCAGTTGATTCCACCGCTGTCCTCAATGTTTGATGATATCTGTAGCGTTGTTCGATACCAGAAATACGTTGTTGCAGATGCGGACACGTTGCATTCATGCACAGGCCCCATTGTAGTAATATTACCGACTGTTACTGGCTCGAGTGGACATGAAGACCAAGGTAAAGGATGTTCAAAGGACTTGAAAAAGTAGAAAACACACCACGCAATAATGACGTTGTAATACAGTGAAACTAAGAAGCAAACCACCACGGATGCTATCCCTACCCCTCCCAGGTAAGGTGAAATTTCGCTCCAGACTCCGACGGAGCCTTTCCGCATTCGTTGTCCAATGCATAGTTCCATGTAATATAATGGTATGCCCTCTAGTGCCAGCATAATTCCGTATGGGATAAGGAAAGAAGCTGTGAAGATATAATTAAAGACACTTTGCGTTAAGTATAATGTTTTTAGTGTGACGGAGGAGAAGGAATGTGCCATTTTTAGGGTGAAAAGCAAACGGAAATAGTAGAGACTACTGCTTTAGGCTATCTCTTGATTTGCTTCTCGAGATAGTCGTATTGTTGAAAGCCATTTGAGTGAAAACTATAGGTGACTATGAACCTTTAGTTGGTTATTTTTTGGTACCAGTAAATCATTGTTATCTTACCTCCGCCGTTTTTATGACACAAGTAAGGAAACCTCCACACATTACCAAGACCAACCGTATAACCAATCAGCATCAATATAAACTCAGTTCTACTTTTCCATCTGTCCCTGCCACTACCATTAAGACATCCTCTATGATGATGGTGATGATGATGGTGCTGGTGGTTCTCATTTCCGCTGCTGGACCGAAAACTACGAAAGCTTGATGATAACTGACTAGCCATTTTACGCAGCGGCGAAGGCGTGTTTAAGAAAACTTCTTTTGAGCGAGAATTAAGCCTTCCGGTTGATGAAGTAGCTCGCTCCATGGTAGGGCTCGGAAGAAGGAGGAGACCGGACATTGGGGAATCGTTGTTGCTTGCCATAGTTTCCAGTGTTGTGGGCGAAGGTAGTCCGCTGGCAGAAAAAACTGGTAAGGAGTCCAGCGACCTGGATTGGAGTACCAAAATTGAATTGAGGAAACATTACACTTCACTGTTTGCACGGTCGATTTTTTCCGGCATAATTTACGGGCTCAAACCATAAGCTTGCAAGTGAATTTTAGGAATTTTGCCAGCCCGCGGCGACGCTCTGAATGTCTTTCAGAACCTGCAACGAGCTGCCGCATAAACGTTGCCCTACGAAATCCTTGCGCACAATATCAAGGTGTGGAAACAGCAGACTATGACTCTTAACAAGCAGAAAAATTTTACATTGAAAATTTCTTTTGTAGTATAAACCTTAAGCATAAGGTAACATTGTTGTACAAAACAACCTTGGTTCGCGCTCGTACGAAATTTTTACAATCCTGAACATTTGCTTTTCCAGTTACCAGTAGAGGACAAAGAACTAATAGCGATCATAACTGAGCGAGGATTGGTTTCTTGGGTTCCTTTTCGCGGTGCCTATCTCAAATAACTAACAGACCGAAATTTCTTGACTGTTTGGATGCATGGAACAAGGAAGATCCTAGAAGGCGGAACAACCGTTTTCGTTGGGTTTACATGCAGAAATTTCAGTCCGTATGGTTACCAATTAGAGAGAGATTAAAGAGGGCAGGTGACAATAACAAACATGCAAACACTAATGCAATTTGGGCCCCTCTGCTTTCTTTGCTAGTATTAGTAGTGCATCCAGGAGGTAGTTATTCGCTATTAAACTTAATTGTTGTCAAAAAAAATAGTCGTTTTCAGAGCCGACACCATTTTGGTAAGACCCTATTGGTGGGTTAATATCACTTTCTTTTTACTTATTTATTTATTTACAAAAAGTAATAACATAAATAAAGAAGGTTATCGGCAATGAGAACAATCTGTATCGAGACTGCTGTAAAATTATAAAGTGCTACATTGTGCTCAGCAATCTAAGTCAAAGGAAGAGCGCATGGACTGAAAGGAGCTATAGCCCGCAAGCAAGCTCTCCATTCACCATTTTTACATAGACCAAAATGCCCCTTGTTTAACCCCCCCCCCCCCCCCCCCCGCCGCAAGAAAAAAATTTAAAACCATTGTCTTCGATTTCTGTTGCGACGACTGTAATACCCAGAAGAAATTGAAAACAATGCTTCCGAAAAATATTGAGGGGTAAACAAGGTGCATTATGGTCTGTGTGAACTTGGGGGAGTCGCGAGAATTCACGCGAGAGACGCACGCGAAAAGAGACGAGTGTCAGTCTCTCACGGCTCACTTCGCCTGCCATAATTGGAAAGCTTGCTCGCATGCTCAAGGAGCAGTGTCACAGTCGGTTAGTTCATCTTTTTATAATGCCAATGACGCGTCTTTATTCCCTGTGGAGCAGGGGTGGCGCAGTGGTGAGAGCACTTGCCTCCCACCAGTGTTGCCCGGGTTTGAATCCTGGCGTCGACGCCATATGTGGGCTGAGTTTGTTGTTGGTTTTCTCCATTGCTCTGAGAGGGTTTTCTGCGGGTACTCCAGTTTTCCCTTTCCTTAAAAACCAACACTTCCAAATTCTAATTCGCCGATCTAGAACGCCCGGACACGTTTCAACGAGTTCTTAAGAACTCCACCACACATTTCAGCGTGAACATTATCAATGTTCTATACTCAAAATACGCAATAAAAGTCATACTAAAAACGTACTAGCCACGGAGGTATGTATGACAAGCATTAATTTGGAAAAATTAGCATAACGTCAATATAGTGAATGTTGTAACGCGGATTTTTGGTCGGTTCGTAGGCTAGGTTCGTCTTGAAATTTCAAGGTGTTGCAGTGAATCAATCTCAATGAAAGTTTCTGACATTAATATATGCATCATGGAGATCTGTCGAGCGGTTTTAGAGATATACAGAAAAGCGCTGGAAGTCAAAATTTAGAATAAAGTTGCAGTTAGACAGGTGGTGCGAAAAAAGGCTAATTAGTGACAGAAAATACACCGAAATTTCAGCCACGCATCGAAATATGATATAAAACAGCCTTCTCACGCTACTTAAGATTAATTTGAGTTATTTACAACTCTTTTATTAAATAATTTATCACGGCTTTTGAAAATATAAGGTTTGAAATATATTTACGTTTTATTTGAATTCAAACATACAGAATTTTTTACTTCTCACGAAGGTTATTTGCTAAACACCACACTTTAAGTTTCTGGTGTCGGATTTTCAGTAGCAGGTCTAGATCGCGCGAAATTTGGATTAAATGGATTTGAAAATTTTTTTTGGTTATTGTTGTCATAGTGACATCGATTTTACTAAAAGCTGTATTTTGACAAACTTCAATTCATAGTCAATCACTGGTGAAAATCTTGTGGCGATCAGAAAAGGATAAAATCACTTTTAAGGCGACTGAAAAACATCGGTATGTCTCCGAGAAACTGTATGGAAACACCTTAACAAGTTTTCAAAATCCACAATTGTAATCCGTTGCAGTCTTCTTCAAGTTTGTCCATCCGGCCTCTTTTGTATTTGCTGTGTTAATTATACCGTAAAATTCCGAAAATAACCCCCTCCATGTATAAGCCCCTCCAAATATAAGCCTCCCAAACCGGTAACGCAAAAAACCCTCCGTTAAATCGCCCCTCCAAATATAAGCCCCCCGGGGACTTGTACTCGGAAAATTGCCCTCAAATACAAAGTAAAACAAAGCAAAAACGGTAAATTTGCTTCCAACTATGAGGCTAACCCAGTCGGTTTTGAAACGCAAATTTTCCTCCGTAGATAAGCCCCTCCGAATATAAGCCCCTCCAAAAATAAGCCCCTCAAAAAGGGCCTTTGAAAAATATAAGCCCCTGGGCTTATTTTCGTAATTTTACGGTATCTTCTTTTAACGTTTTGAGCAGCTATTTTTGTGTTTCACTCAACTTTGTGGCAGTTCCCACCGTTTGAATTTTTTATCAATTTCTTGGCACAGCTCCTTTTATCCCTTAAATCCTAAGATCAAAATTTGAATTCTTATTTGTTGCCCCTATTCATTTCCTACAGAAGTAGTGGGGAGAATTTGGTAAAATATCAGCAAATTCATCTTATGTGATCTTGTCCGTGATTCTCATGACCACTCTGTTTTACAAAGCACTGATATTAAAAGGAGAATTAGATGCTGATCACACTTAGGGCTTAAAGGGTTACCTAGTGTGAATCGGCTCAGCAGGTAAAAAACAAGCAAGTACGGCCTGGTGTTGGCTAGCTAATATGGATGGCTTAAAACCAGCAACACTGTTAAAATCACTTACGGTGCAACTGCAAACAGCTTTACAAACAAAAAAAACTCGCTAGGTCTCCTCAGCAGCAAACAACATAAATTGTGTTCAGCCAGATCAATCTCATTTCCATTTTTTTTTAATTTTTGAGCTTCTCCGCGCCGCCGAGAATCAAAATATTTAGTAGGGGTCTCGTTGCCTAGGCTGCCTAATGTCGTTTGTGATATTTATATGCAGAAATCGGCCGTGAAGCTGGCTTGACTCTTAAAGTGGTTCCTGCGACGATAATTTCTTAAATTTAGCTTTAATCATGAAAAATATATGCTTATAAAGATACTCAAGAAAAACACACCGCGCAAAATAGAACAAACGTTCAAAAACAACCACCATTTGGCTTTAAGTTGGCATGTTTGGTCTTTTGTAAGAGAATGAGTAATATATTCTACATGGTCTTCCAAATCCAAGGAGCAATTTCTACTAAGAAGTGTGTTAACGCACAGCCTTAATAATTAATTGTGAAGCGTGCGACAATTCTGAATCTTACGCTGCGTTAAGTCGAAACGTCATTTAGGTTAACGAAAATCCTTGAGTTTTTTTGGTTAAGTCTGTCTGACTGTCAAATTTAGTCAAAAGCGTTGACAATACTTTCAATCAGGGTTTAGTCAGCAAGCTTTATAGAAGATACTTAGTCGTTCATTGCGGAGGTAAAAATTTCTAGAGGGGGTCATTTTTTCCTAAGCATTCTTACTGAAAAAACACAAGAGTCAAGTAAATCTACTAATCATTGACACGTGGCTAGCGTTGAATATTATCTAAAGAACCTAGTAAATCTTTCAGTCTCCTCAAGTCAATGGAAAAGATTCGTAGTCAGACCTGCCAGGTACAATCTTATCAAAAAGAGAGTGAGTAGTGTTGGACTGTGTTTCTAAAGATCAGGCAACTACGTTTTGTTTTTATGCTCACGAGAATCATACCTTAAACTCAGGAATTACATTCACAATCTTAGATAACTGGATATTGCATCTGTACCATTCTGAGAAAAGTTGCGCATTTATCGACGCTGTACATTTCGTAAACCCATTCATCATGTCAGTCGCTTTGGATATTTAAATAAGGCAAGTCATTTGGCTTTTTTAGTGAACACGGGAAAAGCAACCAGTGGTGATAATTGCAACATGTAGAATATAACACGGCGTTATTAACAGCGCCAGCTTAGCTGACAAATCACGCGGAGGAATAAGGAAAAAATCATTACTCTTAACAAGGCAAATAACACTCTTGTTAAACACGCAAGCACGCGATATTTCGATAGTGCTGGGAAAACATCAAGACAACTACGCTTACCTTGCCTTAGGCTTGTTCAGTGCACTTGGCATCTTCAAATGTCTGAAAAACAAAGCAAACCTCTTTAAATTTCATTGTGAATATCCTCGCCGCTAAGTGTTATTTGCAGAAGCAGACTTAAAGGGGGCTGGTATTGTCCATCGTATTTACCCTATTCGATTAGTCAGCGGGAGAGCCTGCGCCTTATAATTTGAAATTTACAGTAGTAACTACAATATGCAAATTTTAACGCACGGTGTTTCTTGTTGAGGGCTGTTTGTTCTGGTTTAGCGGCCTACTTTTTACAGGTGGCGAACATAGCTTAGCTCCAGCTTCGAGACTTTCATTTCTTTTGGCAAAAAACAGTAACGAAACCGGCCTCTGTACAAACAATTGTTCCTTAAAACG